TATCACTGAGTTATTCATAAACCAAATTTGTTCTCTGAAGCATAACCTCATACTGCATCAAAACTTCCAACCCTCTTCAACAGGGATTTTCCTGCAGTTTTATTCTAGGTTGTGTTCCTCACCCTGTGTCTAATTAGTTTTCTCTAACAACTTTTTAATTTAGGGTGCTTTTTTCAGAGCACAAATTTAATGTTTACTTCTTCACAAGGAAACCTATAGCCTAGTTTAAGAAGGCAAATAGCTTCCTAAATCTATGAGCCTAAGCCACATGTTGGGCACTGAGGTCAGATGTGTGTATGTCTGTGCATTGTTGGGGAAATGTGAGTTCTGGAAGACCTTTACACTTCTGAAATTAAGGGGGCTTGTTTTATATTATTAGACTAAAAAATTCCATTAGGATGAAGGTGTAACAGCATAAGATGAGAAATGCTGCCAGTGACGCCTTTACATGCAGCAGCAGTTTCTACAGGCTGTTCTTTGCATCTTGACTACTGAGAAGCACTATTATTGAAACATATTACAAATGAAGTGGTGGAACTGGGAGCTGGCATCTTTATTTCACTGTCACCTTTGGGAGCAAAGGAACCAATTAATGCTGACAGGCGTTGTGGATTTTAAGACAGGACAGTCCTATGTTAATTTGTGCACTGAAAAATCAGTAATGTTGTTTAAACAAATGAACATCAAAACTACGGTGATATCTCCCATTCACTACTAGCTTGAGAAAGATTTGCCTAGAAGCTGAAGGCTCTCTGTGTCCCTGTACAACTCTTAAGCAACTCAGTTTAATGGTTTTAGGCTGAGCTCTGAGCTACTTTTTATTTGTCCCATATTTGTTTTCAGGGTAAGCAAAACACTTTGCTAATATGTCTGTGAAACTGAAGAGCCACCAACAAATTTGGAAACTAAAGGAGATATAAAGTTTTTATTGAGACATGTTTGGAATGACCACAGCTCTCTGCAAGTTATGCAAATTTTCTCAAGCACCCCTAAGGCATTATGTCTCATAGCACAGATTTCTATAGTTAATTAATGTATTAAAATGCTTTGGTTTGGCTTTTTTTTTTTCTTCTTTAAATGTACCACACAAGTTAAATGTTTTATTGTGATTAGAATAATTAAGCCTCAGAGCATCCCACAAAGGACAGGTGATACCACTAATCCCTAAGCAGCAGCTGTGAGAAAGAAGAGACACATAGAGATAGATTATTTGTCAATCAAAGTTATAGAGGCAGGCAATAGCAGAAAGAAAAATATAATGTACTTGTCCTGGATCCACGTACTCACTTGCTTTAATTTATTTATTAATTATTTTTTTATGAACAATGCAATTCTCATACAGTGGAATTTCTAAAATTACATGCTAGGGAGATTTTGTTCACATTTCCTTAGAACCTCTTACACTGAAAGCCAGACTAAAAAAAATAAATCAAGCAATGGCTCTCATAATTTGTAGAAGATCTGTTAGACTGTGACAGGCTTGTGATTCCTTTTCACCTCTATCAGGCCTGAATTTTAATAAATATTATCTCTTTTTTCCCCATGATTATGAACTATATTGGGTTTTTATGTTCATATGCTCCAGGTTATGTAGATCCTAGAGTTTACTTCCAAAGATAATTCTAGAAAGGACATATGAGATGTGACTACTGTCCCTGGGACTCCATGCTGAGCTACAGGCTGTTTAAAAAGGAGAGTCTTGAACAGAAAGAAAACAGGAGAATAAGGCAAAATAAACTCAAAGTCCACTCTAATATTAGGAGATTGTATCACATTTCCTGAACTTGGATGTCCCTTTGGGAAATTTTGTACAGTCCAGGATTAAGCCAGTGAAAACCCTCACTGTGGATAATGCTTAGATCAACTGCCAATAAGATTCAACAAACTATTACACACAAAGAAAGAGAATGAACAGCAACAGTGAAGGTGAGAACTACCAAACCAGTTAGCTTTCAGGTATTATCACCACCAGTTGCAGGACAAGAAAAAGCATTGTTTTTCTCTTGCAGACTTTCTGTGTGCAATCAGAGCATACTAATTAAATAGTAACATATTTACCACAGGCTTTCAGTAAGATAATAGTAGAATTTAATTTCTGCTTATTCCTGTATATATTCCAGCACCATTAATACTAAGAAGAACTCAAGCTGAAGCCACAACACTGCAATTCCACACAACAAAATGACAGGATGAAGTAAAGGATCTCTTGGCTTAAAACAGTTTTTCCACAAAAGCAAAGGTTTTATAAGAGTAGTACCCATACACAAGTCACCACAGAAGGTATTCCCGTTGTGTTTTTCTGTATGTACATAATTAAGAATATGAAAGCAATAAAACTGATGCCAGTCCTCTGCAAAATGTGCATTTTCTTTCTCCTCAAGCTCTGAGGATCTCTGGGGACAAGAAAGGAAAGGAAAGAGTAGGATCGTGAGAGGAAGAAATGGTCCTGCCCCTCTTTAGGAAGAGAGTATCCACATATTGGCACCATGTAATTTCTGACCAAATAGCAGAAGGCTAATTTATGTTAGTTGAAAGCTGTGGGAAATTTATGGACCTAAAATGGAAGGGAACAATTGTGTTCCCATGCAACTCTGATTTCACAGACAATGATACTGTATGTGTTACGCAGTTTTATGAAGAAACACAGAAATGTTAGTTTTGGGGACCGCTGGGGTTGCGCTATAGTGATCTAATAGAAGTTTATGAAGAAGGGTTTATATGCCCTAACATTTTGATTGTTTTTCTCTATCAGTAGCAAAGTACAAGATGCTCATGGGCCTGCAGCACGTGACTAATGAGGATTGTCAAGCAAAGAGAAGGTTGAATGGCAATCTAATAGCATACTATGTGAAAGAATCATAGAATCATAGAATCGTTTAGGATGGAAAAGACC